TTGCCAGATTGAGAACAATCAACAAGAACGATTGACAACAGCAGGTGATGAGCCTTTAACTTTGTTGTTGAGTTGATATATCGGTGTTTATATTCCTCTGGTCATCGAGTTTTGTAGATGGATGCTGATGCTTTTTAGGTGGGGTTGAATCTGTGATATCTGACCCAGTTGATTTGCTGGCTTCCATGGCTGCAATACGGTGTGTTTTCCACCAACTGGCAACCCATCAAAATCCTATTGGTTAAACTGGCAGTGGGCGGAGTCACACAGACCAAAACAAAAATAGACATAGCGACACAGAACACACATTACTATGGAAGTGCATTTCCGCCACTGAATAAAAATGTTAAAAAGTAATTGCGACTTTTTATCTCGGAGTTCTGACTTATTTTCTGACTCGCAATTGTGTGTTATAAATAAAGTTGCAATTCTGAGAAATAAGGCGAAAATTATGATTTTTTTCATGCAATTCCGAGTTTTTATCTTGCAGTTGTGACTTTCTTCTCAGAATTGCGAGTTTATATGTGAGATATTGAGAACACATCAGTCAGAATTGTACTTTATAACTCGCAATTGCACAATTTTCTCACAATTCTGAGAAAAGTCAGAATTGCGAGATATAAACTCACAATTGCAAGAAAAAAAGTCAGAATTGCGAGTTTGTATTACACAATTGCAAGAAAAAAGTCAGAATTGTGAGGAAAAAAACAATTACCTTTTGTTATTTTTTTTTTCAGTGGCGGAAATGGGTTTCCATACATTTCACAGTAGAAAAAAGGCTGTAGCATTGTTTTTTCAGAAGAAACAAGTATGTAAACTTGTAAACGTGTTTCCTAAATGTCTGAAAACATTATATTAAACATATTATGGTATATTTATGCTTTAGTACAGTCCAAAAAAATTTACATACAGCACCTTTAACATCCACTGAAACTTTCCACTGCACAAAAGTGGAAAAAGGTTCATTAAATTATTACCATTTTCTTCACACTAAGAAAAAAAAAAGATTTTAAGAACGATTCACTGAAAGATTCTTTGGGGAGACAAAAATGGTTCTTTTGGAACCTCTGTTTTTAAGAGTGAAGGGTATGTTCTTGACCTGTGTATATTGTGCATGATGGAGCATCTCTGTGTGTGTAATTGACTGTAATGTGTCTGTCAGCGCGTTTAGTTCCTCAGGATGTACAGCTTTATGGGAGGGGGCTTATTCTGTGCCATCGTGGGCAACATCCTGCTGGTGGTCTCCACAGCGACGGACTACTGGATGCAATACAGACTGTCTGGCAGCTTCACTCACCAGGGCCTGTGGAGATACTGCATGTCTGGCAAATGCTACACGCAGACCGACAGCATCGGTGAGTGCCAGACATTATTTACTTCACTGACTGTGTTCAAACATGTTTCCCAAACACACACGCTCTCTCATTAGTCAGAAAAAACACTTAGTCTTGCCCCAAATTCATGCACATAAACTGTGAAAAATGATTTTTCGAAGTTTTAAATAAAACAAAGATTATTGGAGTACATTTTACAAGTTTTTCTGCTTTAAAATTTCATGTTTAATTCCATGTGTTACTTGCCATTTCTGAGTAAAAAAATAAATTAAAAATCCAGTATATGTATATATATATATATATATTGGCCTGAAAATTACAATTTTACAATTCCCTGATATTTCTAGGTTTTCCATGATGGTAACTTGGTTATTTAAAAAAGAAAAAGAAAAATACAAAATGCACCTAGTAAAAAGTTGAATATTCAAAATATTTTAATGAATCTGTCAGCATTTTTTGCTTGCCTTTTTTTTTCAAATAAACAAACAAAATTTGTTCTTTTCTTAATAGAAACATATTCTTATTATTGTTATTTTAATATGTTTACTATAATTTTTCTTAATGTAAAAATAAAAAAAAACTTTAAAAATTAGACTATACAAAGTGAAAAGAAACTTCCTGCTGCCAGCTGGTGGCGCTATGACTATAAA